ATGTTACAAAATGGATGAACTTCCTGGATACGAGTTTTTATTTCTCGATTTAAACTTATGTTTAAGTCATGTTGCGAATTATCATTTGGCACAAAGTTAGACAATATAGTCTAGCTTTTAGAAATGCTCTCGGTTTGGAATTTGATTTTTAAGTAAATCTGCTCAAGGACGGTTGATCATGCATTTAGACCATCGCTTTTTTTACATTGACGCAAGTCGTCAAAGTAACATACTTTTGTAATATAACGGACTTCCGTCAATGTAACAAAAGCAAGGGACTAAATATATGAATTGCAACTTCATTTACAACAAATTCGATCCAAATCGAAGAAACTCATTAAAACTAGACTATATTTTCTTGCTTTATGCCAAGTTTTTATCTGCAACTTGACTTATAAGTAAGTTTGAATCGAGCAAACAGAAAAACTCGTAACCAGGAAGTTCATCCATTTTGTTACATTGACGGTCCGTCAAAGTAACTAGTTGTGGAACAGTTATTTTAAGGTTAATAAAAATTTTGTGTGATAATAAACACGTTAGGGGCACCAAGAAAGGTAAGATGACAAACAAACAACATTTAGATAAAAATATTTACCTTACCACGAAAATAACAAGATGTCTCAGTATTTGTTTATTGAGGTCACGTTTATATAATGAGTGACCCTTTCAATGTGTGCACGATTTAAGTGTTATAGATCGCCTTGGTGGGAAAGCTGCATGTCATCAATATAAGTGTTTTGAAATTACGCTGTTGTATTACTTTCCAGAATAACCAAGACCTTAAAACTTCACTAGTTGAAAAGTTAGTGTATATGAAAAGTACAATCACCTCGCGTTAGGATTGACAATAAATTAAGAAAGCTAAACTTCGCGCACCCTGAACGAAAACCCCTTCTCAAAAGGTTTATTTACACAATGTTATTTTGTATCTCGTAATGATGTAAACAAATAACACACAGAACATAGAACACGCTCTATAAATCAACGTGATAATGTAAACTGGTGTTAAGACGGGTTTGTACTACACACCACCGTGCAAGTGTTTTTTCATTATCGTTCCGCTACACATTTATCTAATGCAGGGGCGATTACCACCATGTAATCATGTTTCTTACAAATGAAATAGAACCAATTTATACAATATTTAAGTAAATATGCTGCTTTATTTACGCTCCATACTCGCTCATGTTCTTTTCAAATCAAATGACTTTAATTTCCGTCCAAACAGGGACATAATCAAAAACATGTTCCTATTGACATACGCTTTTCGATCTCATTAAATAAAAATTAAACCTTCTTCTTTCGTACGGAGTCATGGGAGTTGAAATTGGCGCAAGATGAATGCTACCGGAAACAGAATCAACTTTACTTCCGGTTGTATGACAAGTTATGTTCGTCAATCCCAGCATGCATCTCATACCAAGGAAACCGAACACCATAGCCTCCTTGAAATCAATTAATTCGTCATCACACTCTGCGATGTCAATGTCATTCTTTTGCAGTTTATCAGCAATGTTTTTCATAAGGAATTTATTTTTTGCACCACCTCCTGTGATCAAGATGCTCTTCCTCATAATAGAGTCACTGCTACTGTTATTCAGGCTTACGTTGTGATTTGCGTGTGGTGGATTTAAGGTAAGGATAGGACCATGGATATACTCAGTTGCTGCTCGTGCAATTTGTTCACTAATGTGTTCAACTGACGTTGCAAGAAGATCCGCGGGTGAGTGTCCCTTAAAAGAAAAAACATTGAATGAAAATAATATTTGTGTTAAGACTCCTCCTTCGAAAAAGTTTGTACGTGTTTTGGTCTAACGGTTAATTATATACAAGAAAACATTTTTCAACACAGATAGAACAGAGAACTGAAGATTTAGTTTTTTGCGTCTAGGAAGGTATGGTTGGAAAGTAACATATTTCAACTGTCGAGGAAGAGAATGGATCTATTACAAAAAGATCTTCGGTGAATAAAGCACCGGATACCATAAGTAAAATGGAATGACTTGTAATATTTAATTTAACATAAAAGTAACATTGTGTGTTAGCCTCTCTAGACCACTTAATAGTTGTTTGTAATTTCAAATGCCAAGTCAAAAACGTTTTATGATATATTGCTCTGAATTGTTTGTTTCGTATCTTGACATTTTACGCATTCATTGTGCAATGGTATTTGTTTATTCATTTGCATGTTCATACCAACCATATTTTCACTTAGAAAACCGCAATTTTAGTGTTCTGTTATACTAATCTGTTAGATGCTAATTCATTAGATCTACTATAACAATAATAGCAAGCACAATTTCAAAATAGCATCGACGTACATACTTTCATTTCACAGAGAATACCATTGACCTTAGACGTATTTGTGTACCCACCTTCGAAATAACGGGCACAATATTAGTCTCGAACCATTCCCTGCCAAGACTTTTCGGGGGCAGTTCTTCATAAAAATGAATGCTATTCAATTGCTGCAAGACATCGTCAATGATGTTACCACTCTCTGCTATTTTTCCATCGGAATCAAATGTATACGTTTTGTTGTATCTGTTGGCTAGGTGATTGAGCAGCATATTGCATGGCGATACATCAAACGCTTTTCCACCGACCGATATGTTTGCAATTCCACCTAGATTTAAACACATTGAATAGTCGGTGAATAAATACTGTTCTCCTGCGGGTACTAGGGGAGCCCCTTGGCCTCCAAGAGCGACATCTTTATCTCGGAAGTTTGTCACGACGGGGCAAGTCAGATGTGATGATATCGTTTCGCCCTCGCCGATTTGGTAAGTGAACCCATGCTCAGGTTGGTGAAATACGGTATGTCCATGCGATGCTACAAAATCCAATTTTTCAATATCGGTTCTTGCAATAAAATCCTTGACGGTTTTGCCGATGAAGTGACCGTAATCCCGATCTAGCTTCACAAGATCGGCACCACTATAATTTGGACACTCAACCAGCTTCGTGTACCATTCTTCGTCGTAGGGAATTGTTTCGGTGTTTAAGAATCGATAACTCCATATATCGCTGTCTTTATCGCCCATATATTCAGCATAACAAATATCCAGTCCGTCTAAAGAAGATCCCGACATCAACCCAATTCCGTAGTAGGAACTCATTTTTGCTATTTACGCTTCAAATTCTCTCTAAAAAACACAGACCTATATGTAAAACATTCCTAGCAGAGCAGGGCTAATTTATTGACAAATGCCTAGATTGTCCTGATTCCATATAGTATTAGACTATTGTTTACTGTTAACGTACAGTATTTAATACTAGACGCTTGTAATTATCGATTGAGAATGCATAGACTTAGCTGAAGGTCAACTAACTATTACATGCATTCATATATTTTTTAACTTTTGAATGTTATCAATTTTGTTGACTGATTGCAGCATACCATGTACTATATTTTATAAGTAACCCATAAGGAACCCGACTAATTGTTTCGTTAATAGGTTCGTTGCACACTGGAAATTTTATTAGTTGTACGTCATTCATAAACGTTAAATGTATCACGTCTTTCACGTCTTTCCGGTTTCATTCTAAGTGTTAAATTGAAATATTGCGAGGATATATTACAATCCAAGTTTGTCCCTACTTAACTCTGAAATGTCAAAAGTATGAAAAGTGATAGATACATAAGTATCATACGTGTATGTCTTATTCAAATTTTCGAGTCTTCAAATTATGTTGACACATCCAAAAATATGGTCAAATGAGGTCAAAGGTATGCAAAACTGAGCAAGGGGTTATTCAAGGTGTTTTAAAAACTTATAGGGATATAGCGGATGGTCAAGCCACAATATGCCCCATAAGCGGTGACACCCGACCTAACTATTCAATTAGGCCATAAGAAGTAGATTCTTTGTTTTGCGTCCTGGCAAAATCCAAATCATGCAAGGGTACAAAGAAAACAAACACAAACTCAAGAAAAAACACAAACTTGTTTACTGAGAAATGTATACATTTTATGGGAATAAAATGGGATGACATACCAATTTGCAGTGATTACGAAGACATATCTATATTGTTTATCATTATGTAATAAACTATATTATTCAAGTATACAAAATAAGAAAATGCACAATGTATGCCAAAGTAATCAATAATACTGTCAATTTTGATGCACATCAAATTATCCCCTATTTCTTCTGATTCTGAATGAACGAACTGCGATGGTTCTTTCAGACCCTGATGATTGCTATTTGGATGTGTTTGTTTTTTCTGATTTACTCAAAATCATGCAAGCATGGGGACGCAAAACAAAGAATCTACTTCTTATGGCCTTACGTCAAATGCAATCTATGATTCATATACCTCTGTTCCCACTTTTCACAACCCCTATATTGTACAACCCTCTCCCCATCGAGACCACCGCGTAACCCCCATATTGGACAACCCTCTCCCGATTGAGACCATTGCACAACGCCCATATAAGTACAACCCTCACCGATTGAGCCCACCGCATAACCCCCATATTGGACAACCCTCTACCCATTGAGACCACCTCACAACCCCGCCCTATATTGTACACCTCTCTCCATATCGAGACCATCGCACTACCCCGTACTGTACAACCCTCTTCCCATTGAGATCAACGTTTTATTCATCCCCATTTCTCTTTAACATAACGTATGTTTTTGTTGAATTAGAACCTGTGATTTGACACGCAGTAGCCTCTCCAAGTTTCTATCATCTCCCGAAGGAGATCTCTCCCTGTTCTCGATCAGTATTTTGCATAAATTAGAATGTACTACTTACTGTTGTTTAAGCCCATGTTAGCTTCTGACAATAGTTTTTCAACTCATTTCTGCAGTTATTACAGTGCAACATGACTCCGCAACCTTTACTATGCACAAGAAATTTGTCATATAACTTAATACAGTATAACTTACAACGCCAACTTTTAGCAGAAATTCACAAAACCACTCAGTGACTTATTAGATAGATTTAGAAGTTTAGCACTTGCACATATTAATGTAAAGTAAATATAGTAAAGATATTGAAATAAAACTATAGGGTAATAGTTTACTGGTCTAGTGCAGTAACTGGGTAGTGAACAATATATTACTACTCAGCCATGAGCGGCAATTTCAATTCAGCGGCCAGAAATATTCCTACGATCGTCTTAAAATTTTTGCGGTCAAATGATTTTCAGTTAGCAGTCACATTTGCTATACGGTAGCCGTCCGTATGGCGTATTTTGATTTTGAGGAGACATGAAAACTACGGTTGTCGTACGGCTGATAAAAATGAGGCATGGTCAGGGAAGGGCATTGGGCGTATTTTTTCTGATATAAACCAATGTAAACACAAGGCAGCCGTAGGGGGTTCTTACGGCGATCCTTTGGTCCATAAATGTCAATTGCAATCAATAAAATACAAGGACAGGCGCAAGTCGATCGAAAATCCGGCGTACGGCCATCGTGACCTTTCTACAATTTGTGGTTTGTTATTTTTACGGTGACCGCAGGAATGAAAATTACTCCTTGTTATCATAACTACGGCGACTCTACGGCCTGTAAAAACTGGATACGCCGTACGGAGACCACTAACTAAAACGACCGTAGTTTTCCTTTGGTCTCGGCCGCAGAAATTAACTGATTTCGGTGAAATACGGCCTTCGTGCGGTCGCCGTAAAGCAAATGTTTACTGAGTCTGTACAGTCACCATTACACGAGCAAATCATGCAGAGCAGTTTTCTTTGCAAGTGGGTTTTGAAAACCTCGATTGGTGTAGGTAACATTTGAGCCAAAATTATTCGTTGTGATATAGACTGAAGGGCACTTTATAGTACGTACACTAGCCACTCTGATATCGAGCTATATATTTGTTAACAAACTGTGATAAGAATATTGTTTACAGACTTCAGCTGGATTTGTATACGTGAGTTCAAAGTTCTCCAGTAAAAGTTATCACGAGTCCAATGAATGTTGTTATATTTTATTGCTCGACTGGAAGTTAATTACCAGTGTTTACTCTGGCTGAACAGTACATTGTGACCCAACGATATTTTAGATCATAGGGATGAGGGAAACATCACGGAACGATGAGGTAAATGATCGGGTATGGGGGGAACTCTGATATTGGAGTATATAATTAAATATTTTCCAGATACTCCGTACAATGCTTGCGAAAGTCATGGACGTACGTATTACCTCCATGCGAAAGCTAAGGTCCCAAGCTACGGAACTAGTTCTAAAAAGTCCAATCTCGTCCTTGAAAAAAAAGTATATGAAAACGGTCTGTGCTCGAGGCGAATTCTACAAAATACAATGTTAGCTCGATCGTTCATAAACAGTCTTCAGTAAAGCCTAATATAATCAAATAGAACGAAATTATAACTTATTCCAGCTTTTATTAACATCTAACAGCCCATTTCACTGTTTTATTGCGTCAGTAGAAATCCAAAAATAAGAAATCAGGAGACCATTGTGCAATAATATATGGAAAGGTATATACATATTGTATATGAATGACATTTGTATATTTCAGATTATTTAGTTTTTTTGGCCACATACCGCAGTGGCCACATACTTATTAGCCAAATTAGAAGCAATACAAGATTAACAAATGTCATCTATGTACAATAGGACTATATTTTTGCATATATTATTGCATAATGATATTTTGATTTCTTATTTTTTAGGTTTTACTGACGCAATTAAACAGTGAAATGGGGTGTACAAGTTATATGCTCTCAGAATCTCCAAACATTTATATCATTTTGAACGGAAATTACGACTGACTCATTACGTTATTCGATTGATTAGGACCATGTGCAATGTAATGACTGCAAGTAAATTTTGAAAAAACACTTTCCCGACTGACCATTCACGGTCATGAAGGTCTATAGAACTGGAAAGAACGATTAAGAACTAGTTTGGTGTAATAGAAATACGCTCTCGAAAAAAGCTTAAACTGTGTGCGAACGGGGTGGAGTGTCTTTTTCACATCAGGCCTTAGCATAGGATTTGATCCTATGTTTTCAGATTAACTGTGTGCGAACGGATTGGAAACTCAAAATATCGAAATCGACACTTCCCGTCCGCCATCTTTGATGCGAAGGTGACGGCCGTTACCTTCGCTTGATACTGACCAGTACGTCTATTTAAGAACTAAGTGGACGTGCTTTTACCCTTTTAAGCATACTTAAAATCATTGATTTGCCAAAAGTAAAACCTTCAGTTTTATCTAAAATTGTTTTCATTGAACCCACTTCAGTTTTCGAAGTCTTTCAGCACTCTCATAGCTTGGCGTACGGATTCTTTGTTTTTTATTTATTCATTTATTTTTGTTGTTGTTAGGACCATGTGCAATGCTGTTGTTCTTTTCTTAATTTTACAACAAGTGTCATGTCATCCGCTTAAAACCTCATATAGAGAAAGTTATCTAAAATAGTTAAAAGTGGCTAATAATAAACTGGATAATATCATATGTAGTTTGTAGATGATTTTCAAAGAATAAATTATATCGCTTCATAGTGTTTTAATATGATCGCCACATATATCCAAGTTTTGTGGATTGTGTTTGGTGGCTGGTGCTTGGCAGTTGGTGGTCACTGGGTGGCATTCCACGATCAGCGTATGAAAACTTGAATGACAGGTGGAGTTTAGGGCATAAATTATTTTCACACATTGCTAATTGTTTGGTCCATCAATAAGTGTGCTATTGAATAGTTTCGAACAAACTTCAAATTCAGACTCTGAAATAAGGAAATATGCTGAATCAGCATTTTCTAGCTGGAGCCGTCATCCTTAAGATTAAATTACAATGTAACATGAGGATTTCATGATACTGATACTGATGTACAAAATACATATTACCTGTGTTTTAAGTTTGCCAATGATTTCTTCTCACCCAAAATAGTTCTAGAACTTCTTACAGGGGGTTAAAATGTTTTAAAGGTTTCGCAGATCCGCCAAAAAGATATTCATGATCTGTTCCATCCAAAATCTTAGGGACAATTTTTGTAATGAATTTCCCATGTAATATTTGTCCCTATGTATCAATTTATAATATTTGAACCAAATCCGTCCACTGGTGTTTGAGTTGTTCTATCGCACTCGATCAATAGGATAATTTCCTCGGCCGATATATTTTCCCTCGGAATAAAATTCATATTCTATCCCTCCCATTACGTCCAGTGCGTTAAAACCCGGTAATATTGCCAAATTATGGTTTATTAACCAGTTTTAATATTCTATCAAGGATGCTACATCTACAGGGTGTCGAATGAATATGCCCCCCTTGATAGACGTTTGTGCATAAACGTGCACAACATTGAGCTAGTCATCTGAAACTTCTTGCTCCCTGAAGCCAAGTTTTTAGGTGCTAAAGAACAATTCAGACATCATACAGACAAAAAAGTTATGCAACATTTTGTCTGATGTTAAAGTTGAGGGGGAAGAACATATTTATTGGACACTCTGTACATTGTACAACCTTGGTTCTTGTCGGTATAGCCCGGTGTCCATAATTGATAAAAATTGATAACGGAATGGATTTTAGGCATTTTTAAAGTTTTAAGGCTGCTGGACTTGTGTTACAGAACATATTTTAGTAAATTGCTTGGGTTCCAAGCAAGCGTTGGTATGACTGATTACTCATTTTGTTCTAACATCGGTTCAATTTTGCATATTTTTGAAGAAAATATAACAATTTCTAGATAACACAATAATATAATCTTAAGTGAAATTCATCATTCATGTCATTTTCAAATACTATCGGATTGTGGGTTTGGCATGTGATTTATTTCTCATTTAATTGATTCTAAATAAACGCGCTAGATTTCAAATTACTCATTTTATTCATCTATGATTTAAGGAATACATCAATATAGTGTCCATTTTGATTCAATAATCAATATAGATTTTGCACATATTCATAAATTTTTGCATTTGTACTTTCACATCGAAACATTAAGGAAGGACAGCACACAAGAAGGCTATAGCATTAAATAAAATTTATGAACATAGTAATACACATATAGTTATATACATTTTAATTCAAAAACAAGCATGAATAAGATGTAACAAGTCCTATGTATCAAGTCCTATATATCAAGTCACATGGATGATTTATGTCGTCTGCTACAGAGGTCAATGTGTAAGATATATTGACCGGATATATTTATTGGATTTAGAATGTCGAATATTGATACAAATTAAATTTTAAAGACTAGATAGTCTGCATGCACATGATCATCTTTTTGTCAATTGAAGCAGTGCATGGCAAGATAGTATATAATATAGATGCTGCAGACAACTAGCAAAAATGTTCTCAAGTCCAAGGTACTCTACATGACGTACATCTTCCAGGTAAAGTATTGAACTATGACAGCTGATACTACATCCATCTTAATATTCAAAAACGAAAATATATGGATGTATAGCATACTTACACTCCCTCTATAAGTTTGGCAAACTAAGCTCCCCATTGAACTACGTGTTAAAGCCTCTTTACGTTTGAATTTTTATTTACTTAACCGGCGATGAAATAACTTATAATATTGATGGAAACGTAACTTGACTTTATTTCCAATACCTCCAAATTTTCTCAATTTTTTCCTCAGTTACAGTTCAGTCGGAAATTGACAATAAGTTTGGTGAATTTTTGAAAATCGTCATGCCCATGATCACCAATGGGAAATGTAGGTTTGCCGCAAGTCAAATTACAAAATATCCATACATCCGAGTCCTTGCAAAAAATACAAGTCAGGCAGGTAATTGAATTTGCTAACTTTATTTAACAAAAAATTGAGGTAAAGAGGCTTAAATTAACATGTAGTTCGATGGGGGAGGTAAGGTTGTCAAACTTATGGAGGGGAGTGTATTTTTTAGATTGATACATGTCATGTATATTACTTTTGCACTGTTTGGTTACATCGACATTTGACGTTTTGGTGGCATTATATCCAGATTCAAAATGCATCTAGACAGTTATAACGTCGATATTTCGATTTGTAATTAACTGAGATTTTGCTTATCCTTTTTACTTTCGATAACCCAGTTCAATTTTGTCTTTCTAGGGGAAATATTTGCCTATATCTGTATATTTATTTTGCCGATCAACAGCGTCATTAACCCAATGGTAGATATTCTTAGTTCTATGTCTTGGAGAAGGCTGCTACATCGATGTACAGGGCGTTCAATAAGTATTGCTAATTTTGCTATAACTTTTGTTCTATTTGCCTTTTCCTTATGAAACTTTCACAACATAAGGTACATATATCTGACTTGATTCCATAAAAATTATAAGACAATCAAATTAGTATTAACAAAGTTATGGTTACTACGGTAACCAGTGTCATGGATATGCGGGGCAAAGTCACTTTGGACGACATATTGAGTGTTGAAAGCAGTATCATTGATACTGTTAAACTCTTGGGATATGCAGTGCAGTTACAAATAATCCATAGGGTCACTTAATGATCCATATTGACATCATGAGGTGCTAAACGTAGACACCCTTAGCTTCAATGCACAGTTACCGTCTGGCGACCCATTCGTTGCCTACACATTTTTGAAGCCATCTTCATAGTGTGTGGCTAGGGGGGTGTTCACTGCAGACGTCAGCTGATGGAGATTCTGATGCGATAATCCTTTCAGATCTCTTTTCACTCAGGGATGAATACAGCAAAACCAATTTGAGCCTTATCTGGGGAATATGCTGCATGGGGCAATGTTGACATACCAAGCTCTGTTATTGTATGTTGGACAATTATAGAGGATCTGTGAGCAGGGACGTTATCCTGGTGGAACCCATGGGTCGCTATTGATCTTTGAGGATGTTGGAGTGTGTGGCTAGGGAGGTGTTTACTGCAGACATCAGCTCATCGAGATTCTGTTGCAATATTCCTCTCAGATCTCTTGTCACCGTTGTTAGAAAATACATATAATTCAAACTGACAACATCAAGTTTCGACCATATCAACAGTCTTTATTCATCAAAGTGTTTATTTAATGGATAACTATAATTCATCATGTAAACCCTTAAAGTTGCCCCGCGTACCCGTGACAATGGTTACCATAGTAACCATAACTTTGTCAATACTAAGTCGGTTGTCTGGAAATTTGCATAGAATAAGGTCAGATATGTGTTCCTTATGTTGTGAAAGTTTCATGAGGAAAAAAGCAAGATACCAAAAGTTATAACAAAATTAGCAATACTTATTGAACGCCCTGTAGATCATCATTTATGAATCATTGCATTTTCTAACAAGAAGGGTCTCCAAGACATAGATTCCACAAGAGTGTCAAATCTTTAAAGAAAAATATGCCTAGATTCATCACCCCGGCCCTTAATCACTGCCCCCCTCCCCAGATCACCGATCACCCTACATCTGCGACTTCCACAAATGGGGAGAACTAACAAAATTGGTGTGGCCATGAATCCTTTACACCTATTCAGTCCCTCAAGGACAGAATCATTGAGAAGTGAAATTCATTGTCTCAACAGAATATCATTGATGTTATTGATCAGTTTAGGCTAAACTTGAGGGCTATAATTGATCAAAATGGTAGACATATTAAACATCTGTTCATGTTAATAAAGTTGACAATAAAACTTGGTTTTTATAAGTTTTGGAAAACCTGTTTTGAAACGAAATTGACCTCATTTATATTATGGACGCTGGTTGAGAGACATTATTATAAAGGAGTGGTATCGATATGGAGAACTTTTTGAACACACGTTTCTCTTAAACCAGTCATAAAAAATCTAAAAATTTAACACATCGTCAATTTAATGGTCATCTTTTGAATGATAACAATATAATTTGAAAAATATATATATACTTTCATCTATATTGTTTTAGAAAACACATCAAACACTTGTTTTGTTCTTTGTATCATGTTTCCAGAGTGAAATGAAACATCTTTCCGAACCTCATTGGAACAAAACGACATAAACACAACATGTTTAGGTCTCTCAATATTGTAATTGTACAAAGAAAATTTTGGTTGATTTTAAAAAAGTATCTTGTTAATGAAATAAAAGGTTTATCTTGATTTTTATCTATTTTGGGGGGATTTTGTTTTAATGTTTTGAACACTTTTTTAAAATCAACCAAAAATTCCTTTGTATAACTATAATATTGAGAGGTCTAAAAACATGTTGTATATGCTATTTTATTCCAACGAGGTTCGGAAAGACATTTTATTTCATTCTCAAGAATTGGTAGAAAGGAGTAAAAACAATTGCACTAAAAAAACAAAAAATGTTAACAAAAACAGTTATATAAAAAATATCTAAATAATTTTTCGCATTAAATTGTTGTCAATCAGTCAACATTACATAAAATACCGTGTTTTTTTACAGAATGTTTTCAATGATTGGTTTAAGAGAAAAACATTGTTGAATTCAGTTCTCCATACCGATAACACTCCTTTGAACTTATGTTATACCAAATTAAAGATAAGTAAATTATCTATCCACTGGTATATAATATGACATGTTTTCATCAAGAAAATCAATATCTACTTTTGAAATACGAGTGTCCCATTTTTTGGACCACCCTGTATATTAAAATGATAATGGGGTTTCAAGCATGTCGTTCTTATATCTTGTCGAATATCAACGGATAGTTTATTTGTTTCTGACAATTTCCTTTTCAGTTATGTTAATCCCTTTCAATCAAGTACGTTCAAATCAACCACAATGTACTATCACGCGGTCCTAACTTCGATCGTTAATTTGAATTTTCGACCTACCAGATGCTTGAAAATCAAGGATTGCGAGTCTCATACTGCACCGTTTTTCTTCAAACCTATACCATTAAAAGCAAAACAAAATTGCCTTTCTGTCGGTGCATTACTTTATTGTAAAGAGTCCCTCGTTCTAGCAGCGTTTTGGTCCCCAGCTGTTAGAAGGCCTTCTTACAGCTGGGGACCAAAATGCCGCTGGAAGTAGGGACTCTGTTTAAGAGAATAATGTACCATCAGAAAGGGATTTTTGTTATGCTTTGAATGGAACAAGTTTGAAGAAAAACGGTGCAGTATGAGACTCGTAATCCTTGATTTTCAAACATCCGGTAGGTCAAAAATTCAAATTAACGGTCGAAGTTAGGACCGCGTGACTATTAGTGCTCGTTCAGTTGTTTCAAGCAAGCATTTAGTATAATTAACAAAGGCTTTTATATTTCCGACCTTTAATACAATTAATATGTTGATGCGATAAAATAGCAAGCGTATTTACTCACATGTACATCAAGCGTTTGTCCATTAGAACCACACGACTATCCTATTACGTCTATCGACATACAAAACATCACAGCTACATGTAGTTGAATAACATGAAGAACTTGAAAAAGTACAGACGTTTAATCACTATATTCTTGATTAACACATTCCTTTTAGTAAAATCTCAACAAAATACAACATGTAAAAACGGGTGGAAGAAATTACAGGATCCGACGAGGCAATGCATCAATAAGAGATGTCCAAATACATACAAATGTATCAAAAATGAATGCTGTCGATATAAAAGTCTTGCCGATTGCATCCCAGATATGAAATCTACCTACGAGCCATGGCCCTGTCGCGGTGGTGGCTCAAAGCGATGCGACGAAGGATACGAATGTGTCACTGGACCACAACTCACTTATACCGCCTGCTGTCGTTTGGGGAAATGTATCGACGAAAATGGAGTTGAGCATCGACCTGGAGCTAAATGGACGAGTGTCTACGACAAGTGCAACACATGCACCTGTGTGAACGGCAAGAGTGAATGCACTGACAAAAAAGGTTGGTACTTTCCACATCACTATCAGGTCGCCTATCATACTGCCAGGGTAATTATCATCAAATGTGTTTCAGCTCTTCTAAAGCCATCGGGTGGTTTATAAGGGGTTATTTTGTTCGGGGCATACTATTTGAGATATAATTTGTACAATATTCTTTAATAGATGTCACGATTGGACCAGTGGATCGTTTTTATTTTTCACTTGCATGTTTATTACACCAGAGTTTAAGTGGAGCCATCTGAAAGTGATTACAAACTATCTTTGAAAATTAATCCTTAAGCATGCTTATAATTGCAGGTTGTAAAGTATGCAGATTAAAAGGACAAATTAATGGCGACAGAAAAAATGGAAGGAAACGTGGAAAAAAACTTAAACGCGGGGAGACTTATATGGACGGATGCAAAAATTGTACATGTATATCAAAACATGTCAGCCATTGTAAAGGTCCATGTGAAGGAGCAGACGCTAAAGGTAGAAGCAATGTTATATTATTTAAGGAATAAAGACCGAGATTTTATGATTTATGGCGTATTAAATGACCTCAAATTTTATTCTATTCATTGTTAAAATTTGGCAATGGCCAGAATAAAATGTGAGGTATATTTCACTGCTGATTCGCTCGATTACGCTGGTTACCGAAACGGTTCGTTCGTTTCGGTAACAAAACGCCGGGACGTCGAAGGTACGATTTTTCTTTTTTCTTTATTTCATGCGTAGGCAGAGTCCCCACGACATTTTTCTCACAAACATGTATCGGTATCATATGTTTCAGAAAATGTACATGTTTGCGAAAAAATAGCTCAGAAGACAACAGAATCGTAGATTTAATTCCTCACTTAAGTCACATAAATGGTATGGGTTAAAAAAGCAGATCTTAACCGTTTTCGAAATACCCTTTGTGTTACGATCTTGCACAGGTACTCATACAAGTACCTCTAAATCATATACATTTCTATAATTTTGTATAATTATTGCATTCATATAGATTATGTATTATTTTGTTTCTGTCACACTAGTCAAATTTTCAATAAGTACAATGTATAATGTTGTATTTTGTTCCAGCCGAATTAAGTCCATTCACTCCTTGTTTGAAGTCTAGTGGCTGCTCTGTCAGAGCAAGGGTTCGTCAATGCAAGGGAGTCGGCGAATGCCTAGAAAAGAAAATTGAAACTGAAATCTGTAACAGTGAAAACTGTCAAAAACCAGGAACTCGAAAGGTCGAAAGCACTTCCATTGTTATTGGAGGTTTTGAAGCTGAACCAAACAATTGGCGATGGATGGTTTATCTTTTTCCATCTAGATGCGGGGGAACAATAATAAGCCCAAGACACATTTTGACAGCTGCTCATTGTGTCTTCACTGTATTTGGAATGATGTATGAAACGATTAGTGTTTCGGCAGGGAGACATGATCTGGAAAAGGATGAATTAGACACCAAGCAGGACCGAACAGTCAACAAATCAAATTTCATTGTTCATGAGAAATGGAACGATGCGTATTTCAATAATGATATTGCTATTTTGGTATTAGACGAGCCATTGGAGTTAAATGAGGCGACAGTTCCTATTTTACTCCCAAAGAGTGAGAAAATGAATATCAAAAAGATACTTTGCCAAATCATAGGTTGGGGGATGACAGGAAACAACAGATTTTCTAATGTTTTGCTGGAAGTAAGAATGAAGCTTAAAGCATGCAAATTGCCTCCAAGCCTGGCGTCTAGGGTTCAACCAGAATCAATGTTTTGTGCACACATGAACAACAGGTATATATATTATATGCATTCTGAAATACATTTAATTTGGATGAGATGAGGCCTCAGACTGTATTAGTCATAGGTTGTCCTTTAATGACACGGTCATTCTGAAACTATAGTTCTGCTCTACATATTTTTTAGAACAACATTTTCAAAACTACCATAAATTAGAGGTAAGACATTTATAACTTGTATTTTGAGGATTGGATAAATGTTATGCTATAGCATGGACGTAGCCAGGGGGGGGGGGGGGGGTGCGATCGCACCCCCCCCCCCATAACCTTTGAAAATATGATCAATGGATAGAGGTAGAAAAGAGCTTTAAAATGCTTTTTATTTGAAGCTTCTAGCTCAATTTTGCAGGAAGTTGCATCAATTTTTGTAAAATTCAAAAGAAATCTTAATTTTTTGTGTTGCTTATGGCAAAATCGCACCCCCCCCTGACCGAAAACTGAAAAATTTTCGGCGATCGCACCCCCCCCCCTGACTGAAAGCTGGCTACGCCCCTGTATAGTATAGTGAAGTTAAGTTTATTTACATCGAATGTCCTGGACATGGATGACTTTGGCTATTCAAAAGGTGCTTCTTATATCTGGACATGAATTTAGTCCTGTTTTGACCAACATGTTATAATGTTTCAGAGATTCCTGCATGGGAGACTCTGGTGGCCCATTCATGTGTCGTCACAGAGACAACAAGTGGGTTCAGTACGGACTAGTTAGCTGGGGGCCTGCTACATGTGGTGACTATTCTGGTGTCTACACAAAACTGACAAATTACATTGACTGGATAAACGACAAGATCTCTACGGATGGGGATTGGGGAATGTTCTCTGATTGGACAAAGTGTTCGGTGTCATGCGGAGGTGGATATCAGACTAGGATTCGTGTCTGCAATAAACCGAAACCTATCGCGAATGGCAAGTGCCTTGGGGAAATCGGTGAAAAGAAAGTTGATCCCGACACAGGAGAAATAGTCGATGTGCAAGAAAGAGAATGCAATAAAAAGAAATGTTAATTTGTACAAGAAATATTAAATAAATAACGGAAATTGGAGATCTCAAATGAATTTTCATTTAGAAAACCCATGATCGAGTATAATCAATAAAAGCTTGTATAATCAATTCAAACAATCGGAAACGAGTTTTATAGATTTACTTTTTGACACTGAACCGATTGACCTAGACAATAGCGACGTGTCTTCTTTGGTCAACTGCTCAGTCATTTGTGGGTTTTTAAAGTCTATAATGCAATTTGAAGATGAGTACTTTCATTATTAGTATTAATCTTGTATTTCTTATTGTAAACAGTGGTTAATAAGCTTACGGTAGGCTGGGTAAAATTATTGTTAATTTTAAGACTGATCACTATAAATAAATACATAAACTCTATTCAGTTGTTGCATCGATGTTGCAGTTTTTAGTGCAGTAAGGATGGAATGAAAGGGTGGTAAGTCGAATGAAATTATTTTCCAATATGGGGACTAGTCAACTGATCGCATGACCTTCTCTACCGGAATATATCTCCTCTTTTCATACGTTGCTTTTAATTTTAAAACGTTGTGAGCCAATACAGAGATACAATTATCTGATATATACCAGTAAAGTTTAATAAGAGACCAATCGTTTATGATACTTTTCTCGTCCAATCGGACAGAGCTTTGTTGGAAGATAGCGATTGAAAATAAGTATGAAAATCCACATGCTAGACTAATGAGGGGAAAAGAAGTAAGTAAGAATTTGTTCCCCCACGAATTGCATCATGGGTAATATGTTGTCAATGTCAGGAAATACTTACGTGTCTCCTCGTTTAAAGAGCAAACCACGGAAAGGAGAACTTATACATCGATATCATCTGATGTGGGACACTGGGGTATGGTTTGGCCAAGTCAAGCCAAACTACTGAGAGGGTGGTGTTGTTCTTCTGGGCCTCTTTAATCAGCTGGGTGACTGCCGCTGTATGCTCGAGGCAACCAGAGTGTCCTGGAATCCCTCCCTTCTGCACACTTGGATCAATGTAGTTGTTGCCTAGCAGGAAGTTGGTCAGCCTTTTTGCCACTAGTGTCAAGAAAATCTTCCCTTCGACATCCAGCAGTGATATTTCTCTAAACTGGCCAAGCGTCTGGGTCTTGTCTTCTTTTGGAACAAAGCAGTCATCTGCCAGGGCCCAAGATGATGGCAGGGCTTTCTTTGACCACAGTACGTATGTTGTTCCACTTGGACCAGGTGCTGATCCAGCTCTTGCCTTCTTGACCACTTTTTGACGTCAGTAAGGGGTGTTAGGGTCAGCAGCCCAACACACCATAGCATTACAAGAGCTTCAGAAAATTTGCCAGTCCTTAATAGGACTCGAAAGACCACTAGGTTACAGACGGATACTCATCAACGCGAGATACGGACCACAGGGAAGAAAGTGAATGACGGAATTGACGAACTGGATAAAAGAAGTCATCGTTGTGACAGCTGCGGACGAATCTTTAAGAACAGCCTCGGAGTAAAGATCCACCAAGGCAAAATGAAAGAGTGCAAAGAGAAGCTTAGACAGGGAAGATTCTTCCAAGTAATGCCAAAAAGCCGGAGGAGGATATCAGCAGGGAAGCGCACCACAGTGCTGAGGACCTCCTAGTAGAAGCCAATCAGAGCACAGTTCAGGAGCGAGAGAGACAAGATGTAAATCGCATTTGTGTTTATACGACCTACTTATTTTCAAAAATGTAATGGTGTCCTGAAATCAAAACAGACTCCCAATTAAGTCCCAAACCTTGAATAGAAGGTTGATATTGAAATATGGGTCATCAGAAGAGGAAAAAATACAGTTTGAATTTTTAAAATACCGTTCATTATAAAGGACGAGTGGCTTCAAGACAATATATTAGCCTCCAAGATATTTCTAATAAATTGTACAGGATATCAAAGAATTAGGGTCTAACCAAACTAAAAAATTAGGTCATTCTGACCTTTATATTTTAAAATTTAGGTCGTTCTATTAACATGTATAAAATGGGCTTTTGAAGGAATAATCACTCTTAGCCTATGAACCAAATAGTACATGCAACGTGTGCACCTGAACCGACAATCCTCCTCCCAATTACTCAGTTGCGAGTAGGTAGTTACCAGTTTCGCCACCAGGTGGCTGATTCGGGGGAATTAACAGGGCAGGGTATTACAAAATTCCATTAAACTTGAATATTCATCAGTTTTAGTGGTTCACTTTTCATATTACCCTTATGTATCTGATAGTTATACAAATTAAAATATGTCCAGTAAAAGAAAATATTATCTGCCCAACACAGCAAAAATATTTCGCTTTTTGTGGTTTTACAACATGGGGTCTATGGGGAATCTCCCCGACCTAGAAGTCACATTTTCAAAGAAAATTAAATTTTCAAAGTTGATTATTTAACTCGTTTCAAAACCACATTTCTAGATGTAATTTTACATGTAGATTCCAAATATGACATTATTTTGACTGAATTGTGAATTTTGAATGACGTAAATCAAGATTATTTCTACTTTTTTTTTCTGTTTATTTATTTCAATTTCCTTGCTATTGATATACAAAAGTATGCCTTTGTTAACTTAATAACATTATCGGCATAGTAAATATTAAAAATATAATACAGGAAATACAAAATACAAAAACCACGTAGTATGTTCAGTCTATATGTATGCTTGCTCCCCATCCCACCCATAAGGTTCCCAAAGGAATTTAGAATGTTTCACTGGCTGTTTAAAACTGTGATTGCTGTTGAGACATAGTGAGCCACGATTTCAATAATTTTGCTATTCATCACATCACTAAGGTTGGTATCCCCATACAAAAGTGTATCTGATTTCTTAGAGATTGTTAAATTTCTGAAATCTGGCAGACATTCCAGTTCGTCGAGTCCTGCAAGAAGCAATTCCCTTTCATTTATGAGCAGTGGACATTTGATTAGAAAATGAGAAGTGGTTTGATGAGCTGCACCACATGGACATTTGGGATCATTAATTGTGGTAAAATTGTGGGCATGTAAATGGCTATTAAGCAAGAGTCCAGCTCTAAGTCTGTTGAAAGTAATTTCAGTTTGTCTTGGCATAGTATACTCCATTTTGGATGTGGGTAAGGATGCATGGCTCCTTTGCTTCCTGACTGATCTTTTAAATCTTGAGATTGGCTGCCCAACTCGGATAGTTGGTGGAAGCCCATTCCAAGCTGAGATGGCACTAAAGATTGTAGATTTTTTGGTTGAGACACTAGTATGTAATGGAATCTGATAATCTGGCTGATCTCTCAGCCTTCTAGTGTGAACAATTTCATAAGTTCTCACCACATCACAGATGAAGGGAGGTAAAGCATTAAAGCGTGCCTTAAAAATGAATATTTTTAAGTGCTCATCTCTTCTCGATGCCAGCTTTTTCCAATTTAGAGAAGAAAGTACCTTATCAGTATTTGACCCATGAATAGCACCTGAAACTAGGCAGGCTGCTCTATAGTGCAGACTTTCGAGAGCTTGGAGCTTAAGAGCTGATGCTTTATTGTAAATTATGTCACAGTAATCTAAGTGGGGTATGAAGTAAGCATTGTAAATTGTTTCAAGATGTTTGCTTGATAACTTTTTACTAAGAGCCTTCAGTGGCCCCATTAAAATTGTCAATTTGTTAATCAGTTGGTCAATGTGGGCATTAAAGTTTAAGTGTTTATCTAACACTATTCCTAAGTGCTTATGGGTATCTGTCATTGGTATTTGCTCATTTCCTAAAGTTAATGATGGTTGAGCTGCTAATTGGGTTCTTTGGCCATAAAAGGTTAGATCAGCACTTTTTTGGGCTTTAAATTGCATGCGCCAAGTGGTTGCCCATTGGTTAAGATTGTTCAGATCTTGTTGAAGGGGTTGATTTAAATTCAATAGCATGTCAGAGTTTCTGTCATAGGCATCATAAAGTGACGTATCATCAGCAAAAATAAAAGCTTTGGAGTTTAAGTTGTCAGGTAAATCGTTAATATATATTAAAAAAAGTAGGGGACCCAAAACAGAACCTTGGGGAACACCGGCATTTATAATGTATTGGGGTTTATTGGGATTATTGACCGGAATGTTGTTGTTACCAATTAATTCAGGATCAGAGGACCAATCGGAAAGGCAGTTATTAATACGCACTTTAACCCTTCTGTCTTTAAGATAGGAAGTCATTAATAGAATAATTTCATTGCTACATCCGTATGCTTTAAGTTTTTTTATTAAGAGTTTGTGAGGTACCAAATCAAATGCAGACGTCAGGTCTAAAAATATTGAACGGACATTTTTCTGTTGATCAACATTAGTTTGTATATCATGAACAATGTTGATCAGTTGATTCACCGTATTGTGATGTGGTAAAAAACCACTTTGAAATTTATACAAGAGATTATTATCCAGTAAATGAAGAAGGAGTCTGTTGTGGATTATTTTTTCTAATACTTTGGATAGTGAGCATAGTAATGTAACTGGTCTATAATTAGAAATATTGCCTTTATCCCCTTTTTTAAAAATCGGTATGATTGTTCCTTCCTTCCAAATACCAGGAAAAGTACTTTCTTCGAAAATTCTATTAAAAAGTCTACTAACTGGAAAAGACAGACTATCGCCACATAATTTGATCATTTTGTTTGTTATTCCATCCGGGCCATGAGATTTGTTAACATCCAGGCTTGAAAATAATTCAGAGACCTCCTGGGGTGTTGTTCTAATGTCTTGCAGCATGATGTTAGTTCTAGGTGGAAATTCAGGAATTGCAGCATTATCAATATTAACAATATTTTTATTCACAAAGTATTTCAAAAATAAATTTGATTTTTCTAAACTGCTACATGCAGTAATATTTGACGCAGGGTCCATTATAACTGGGAACGAGCTGACATGATTTTTACCAAGTACCTCTTTAATCAAAGTCCAGTATTCAATTGAGTTTTTAGATGTGTTTTCAATTTTTACCCTAATATTCGCTTCATGGGCTAGTTTTGCTTCACTTATCAGTTTATTTACTTTTCTACTCTGAG